ACCACGTGGTGTTAAAATGGTCAAGCACCCTCGAGGCAGTTACACAGTGCTTAAGACTGTCTCTGGAAGTGAAAGCACCAGAAAATAAATTAAGTCATACGCAGCTGTCATCCGTACGCAAGGAAGTAAGCACAAGATGCCGAACACCCTTAGCAGGATGCAGCGCACCCTTCATGCGACTCGCCGAATATCTCACGGCGCTTCGCGCTTGGTGATGTGAGAGCCTGGTCCGGTGAGAACCCGGCGTGCTCCGTCCCGGCTTTGTAGGGATACGAGGCCAATGGTCTAACGACTAAGGCATGCACGACTATGAGTACACCCCCCCCGTCCCCGCCTCCGTTCGTTTCTTAATCAAACACCTGCGCGGCGGTAGTATCGGCCCGTTCATTTTCTCCGTGCCGTCCTCCGCTACGGAGCACAACCTCCGATCGAGGACTGGCCTCCAAGGAACACTCCTGTCCGCGGGGAATCCGCGCTGGTTGTTGCTGTGGATGACCTCGTGTGAAGGAGACGAAGGCGAGAACAGCGGTCTACGTCTCGGTCCGTGTGTCCGTACTCTTTGTTAATCCCGGTGCCTCTCGTTTCACACGGCTTCGTGTACTTGCGTTCGTCCCTCTCTGTTTGCCCCCCCCCCGAAACCCAGGTTGTTGAGGCGTTGGTCGGTGCTCACGCCATGCGAAACTTGGACCTTTGCTCCACGAACATCGAAGAGCCCGAGGTCATTGACCTGGTGGCGGAGTTGGTAAAGAACAACAATAACAGCATGGAGGTCAGTAAACCACAGGCTATGAATACCATATAATAAGCCTCCCGAGACAACGCTCTCTTTGTGGACGCGGGGTCAGAAAGGCGTCGGTGTCGTCTTGGCATACGGGATAGCACGATAGCACCTATTTTTTAAATATATCCACCCGGCGAGCCCACGATAGGTGCAGGGCCCTCGTCCGCTCATCCTTTTGGGTGACAGCTTTCGGTGGACAGGGCGGGGGGGTGGCGGGGGGGGAAAGATGGTCAGTCGCCGCACAGATTATTGCAGCAAGACTACAGACTCAAAGGCGAGGGCGTGCTACATCTGGTGTTCGTATGCGTTTTTAGGGTTAGCATCGACCGCGCAAACCGGCTGACAATGAGAAGACGTCAGCCTTCTAGCGGGGAAAAAAAACGGGAGCACCCTGTCTGATCATGGGGCTCTACCGACGTCGCGTGTGGGTGTGTTCGGTTGCTACCTAGAAGCCGCGTGGGGATAAGGGGAGTGCATGTACGCGCACATTTTGCGCGGCTCGTGGACAGTTCCTCTTCTTGTCATTGGCGTTTGGGTGGGGTCGTCTTCGATATTCCCTCGTCCGATGTATGCGTATCGAAATGGATACGTGCGTGACATGATGGCAAGCCAACCTCAGGTTTCAAGGAGTATTTGAGTACTTGTGGGATCGACTCGCGAGTGTGTGCGTGCCAAAAAACAGTCCAGCCCTTGTAGACCTCGCACTACACTGCACCACACGCCATAAGGAACGGCCCCGAACCAGGCATTTACCCCTAGCAAACAAAATACGATGGGCTCAATGTGGGCCGGGTCATCGCATTGGCGGCCAAACGTGTGAACTTTAACTTTCCCAAATAGCAGTGCTTGGAGGTGACGGGGACAACTACAACACTACAAACAACATCATGACCCTACTCCTATCTGCAGTCGTGCGTGGCTCGCGAACACCCCTGCGGTCTACTTTGATACAACCCGACGTGATCCAATTCAATCATCTCTGTCCAGAACTGGAGGGGGCGTCTCTCGCGCAATGAGTCATTCCCGTTCCCAGCGCCCTCCCTATCTAACCCCCAGCATGGTTCCTCCGGATTTTGATGTTGTTCGTACTACCATCGCAGAGCCTTAGACTCGTGGGCAACAACCTCCCCCCTCGGTTCGGCGGGTCTTCGGGAGACAAGGTAAGAATCTGACAGCAAGCCCATCATACATTTAAAGGTAATCGTATCATACAGCAGTTGCAGCACTCATCCCATCTGTTGTGGACTCGAATGCTTCACCTTACGGTATGAAAAGGACGCACCAGCCAGGGTCGCCCATGAGGTAGGTCACACTCAGGCGTGCTTTTTTGATGGTGCGGTTGCCGAGTAAAGGCTCTCGTGAAGTCGTGTGTGCAATAGACTTGAAGCTGACGAAAACCTTATACAGCACCTAGATGGCCTTTAGCACGGGCGTTGTCAATTGTGTTATAAGAGAGAGACAAGATCCAAACTCTGTCTGCAGCTCGTGCGCACGACAAGAGCGAAAAGGTGATACGATTGACGTCTGATGGACGTAAGCAAAGCACGTGGTGCGATCTTACGGTCGGTCACGGCGTATCCGCCAATGGTGCGTTGATACATGGCTTACACTGCTCGTGGTAGTCAAACTCGGCGAGGAACGCGTACCCACGGACTCTGGCACGAGGACGAAGAGTTCACAGAGGACAAGATGCAGCATTCGAGAACAGGTAGTTGTTTGGTCGGAAGAGATACCGGAA